GGGGACAGGGGCTGCTCCAGAGGGGGCTGGAAGCTGGCAGCAGCCCCAGTGTGACCTAACATGAACCAGTTTACTGATGAATGGGAATTTACTGATGAATGAGATGGACTGCAACTGCATTTTTTGAAGTTACTTCCAAACTATCAAGTGCCCTTCGTTTCCCCAAGCCAGAATGACAATACTGAACTAACCATGAGAATTACAGGGCGGAGAAGACCATGTCTCTAACCCTCACCACCACTGCTTGAAAGGTCCATTTCCCATGGAGGTCAATGGGGCTTGGCTATTTTATTTGTACAGCTACTGAGAAATGTACATGTCAATACCATGATGGCAATGCATCTATTATGTAAATAATGGGGAATAATAATTGCCAAATGTGACCACTTCCCAACCTCCTTGCAAAGGGCCTCCTCCAATTTAAACTTTAAGCTAGGATTGGGCTCAAAGCAATCTGTTGACATTACCCATGAAGATCCAGTTAACATTTAGTCCCTCTTCAAAAGTATAAGGGACCAATCAGTCAAAGCCCCACTGCCTGGTAGAGGTGATCTTTGAAGAAAATTGGAGAGACTTTGAATTGACATCTTCGGACAGCAGCTTTTTCTCTCACTGGACATGGGGTCGTTAGCACAGGTTTCACTTTGTGTCAGACTAACTCAGAAATGGGTTATCACAGCTAACTCCATTCAGATCTAGGCAACGTGCAGCCCACAGACAGAAAAGCAAATCCCTTGAAACTAGAAGTCAAACCATCTCACCTCTTCACAGAGCTTACAAAGGGCCTTCTTCACCCAGGGTATGTCTACACTACCTCCCTAGTTCGAACTAGGGCAGTTAATGCAGTCATATGAACTTGCAAATGAAGCCCGGGATTTGAATTTCCCGGGCTTCATTTGCATGTTGCCGGGCGCCGCCATTTTTAAATATCCGCTAGTGCGGATATTCCAAACTATCTGTATGCCTCGTTCCACAGATAGTTCGGAATAGGAAGCCTAGTACGAACTATCTAGTTCGTGCCACGTGTAGCCGCAGGCACGGAGTCCGCACTAGCGGACATTTAAAAATGGCGGCGCCCTGCAACATGCAAATGCTCTTGCTTCTTTCCCCCCTTTTCCATTCCTCCTTGCCTCCACCAAGAGGAGGTGTGTGTTGAGGGAGGGAGGGGGAAGGGGGCAGGAGAGAGGGAGGGAAGTTGCTGTCACTGTGGGAGGTCCTCACAAAGAGGTGGGGCTAGAAAACTTCTTGGATACTGATCACCTTCGGTGATGACTTGGGCCATCCTTTTGCACTTCTGCTGAGACCCCTCCACCTCCCAACCCTCAGAGTCTCGATGCTCATTGGCTGCGTAGATGGCTATTGACAGGGAATACTCACGTTCTTTTGTTCTCTTTTAGGATCAAACAAATAAGTTACAAGTAATCATGTATTTGATTGCTTGTACTGCTTCTTTGCAATTATTGTCTCTGAACAGTTCCTGATTCTCTCTAATGTGCCATTTCTTCTCAAATACTTGCTGATTAATTACTATGAACAATTGTTGATCTGTAGCTCATTTGAGAGTACTTTATTCTGATCAATCAATGAGTCCCAAGGAGCTGGCTAGTGGCAAGAAATTAGCTCCTGGCACGGGCACCGTAGCCAGCCCATGTCCCTTTAAGGGGGCCGGGGCCGGGAGGGGGGCAATAGAGTTTCCCTGGTGTTGGCCAGAGTGGCCACCAGGGAAAGCTGGGGAGGGCTAGCCTCCCACTAGTTCGAATTAAGGGGCTACACACCCGAACTAACGTCCGTTAGTTCGAATTAACTTTGTAGTGTAGACATACCCAAAGAGAGTAGGTGACTTGCTGGTGATCACATAAGAAGTCTGGCAGAGCAAGGAATTAAACTCAGGTATCTGAAGCTACTTCTAGACCCCCAGGGTTCGAACGTCCGTTAGTTCGAATTAACTTTGTAGTGTAGACATACCCAAAGAGAGTAGGTGACTTGCTGGTGATCACATAAGAAGTCTGGCAGAGCAAGGAATTAAACTCAGGTATCTGAAGCTACTTCTAGACCTCAAGTTTCTTCCGAAAGAGAGTGTCCACTCACAAAAGCGCATTGAAAAAGTGATCTGCTTTTTCGAAATAGAGCATCCAGCCTGATTGGATGATCTCTCACATAAAAGGCCACTCAGAACCACTTCAGTCAGGGCTTTAAGTCCCCAGACACAGACAGGCTCCAATATATCCTGAGGGTGAGCATGGTCAAGAGGGGCAGGGGAAGGTTTTACCTTAGAGCTGGGGAGAACTGGAAAGGAGAGACTGGAAATCCAGTTTCCAGCCTGTTCTCCTAGACTGAACCCCAGTGGGCCACCCTTGGTCAGGGCATTTGGGGCAGTGCTATGTTGGGTCCTTCCTCCTTTAGACACGGGGGAAGGAGCTAGAACATCAGTTCAGGGCCCTGGCTGGC